GTCCACGCCTCCTGCTCTCATGGGTGTCAGTGTTGGTGTCGGGGACACCACTCCTCCTGAGGGCCAGGATGTCTCGCTGCTGTTGCTAATCTCGGGTGTTTTACCATCCCTTTTTAGTTCCCTTAATCCTATTCACACTTCTCTAAATGTCCCTGCATTAAACTCTCTTTGGCCACACCCTCGGAGCATGCTATCTGTACAGGATACGGATATCCTATATCTGCAGGGACCCTGCCTGGGACCCTGACCAACACATCTGTCACTCAGAGCAAGACAGGCCATCACAGCCAGGCAAGGGGCCGATGACAGGGAGCACAGGACAAGGTGGCTGAGTCAAAGGCTGGGTGTAGTCAGGGAGCCCACAGGAGGGAAGGACAGGGCTCCCCCAGCCCGTGTGCATGCCGTTGTACCCGGGCTCACCGACAGACCTGCCTATTTTAACTAGTCTATGAGCTTCCTGATGCCGGGGACTGCTTCATCTCCATCTCAGCGTCATCCACAAGCATTTAAGGTCTAGACTCTAAGATGACACATGGATGCCAGCATCAGGGACATCAGAGATATCCAGACACAGCATCAAGATGGGAACCATCTATGGATGGGCACATTTGAAATTGAAGGTGAAAACAGATAAATGAGGCTAATATAAGGTAGTAGTTAGAAACAAGGGCTCTGGGGCCATACTTTCTAGGTTCAAATCCTGGCTTTACCACATTCTATTTCCTATGTCTTTTTTCTTTTCTATAAAGTAAGGAAAGTCACAGTACTTTCCACACAATCTGATCATTATGGGAATTGAATTAATTCAAGTAAAGCATTTAGAATAGTGCATGGCAGGAAGCACTCAAAAATGTTAGCAGCTATCATTAAATTTGGCTAAAAGTGAGAAAGGCCTAGGCTCCAAACTCTGTTATCAGTAGTAAATTAAGGAATTAAACCAGTCAAGCAAAAAGCCAGGAAAAAAAAAAAAAGGCGTCCAGCCAGAAAGAGTAGTTGCAATGCCTGAGAGCAGGAAAAAAACAGTGTGGCTCAATGGTAGAGTGTGTGCTTAGCATGCATGAGGTCCTGGGTTCAATCCCCAGCACCCCCATTAAAAATAATCAATAAATAAACCTAATTACCTGCCCCCACAAAAAACAACAACAGCAAAAAACGGTGTGGCTGAACGGTAGGGAGTAATGAGCAAGCTCCAGGCCACTCATATAATCAATAAAATTTGGATTTGATTTTAAATGTGATGAGAAGCCCCTGGAGGGTGAAGGAAGGGAGTTAACATGATCTGATTACAGTTGAAGATCCCTCCAGCTGTGGAAAATGGATTGGTGAGAGAGGCATGAGTGTACAGGAAGCCCAGGTATGGGAGAAACTGTAATCACACAGGCAAGAGATATAAATAACCCCAAACAGTGAAGGGATATTTTAATTTGCTTTGGAATGTTTTATACTTTCATCTGAACTTAGCTGGGACTGATGTTCTGGGAATTTCACCTCACATAAAACAAAGAAAAGTCCTGATCTAACAAGGAGGAGCTGGAAAACTCTACGGCTTTCCCACCTGCCCTCTGTTCAATGCTCCCTACCACCCAGTTCATGCCGATAACAGGAAGTGTGACCTTTTCAGAGTGATGCGGAACTACCCTATGTTTCTTGAGGGCGGATGACTAGGGCTGAGAAACAGCAACCACACTTTCATTTTAAAAGTCTCTCCTAATCAGAATTGAATAGCAAG